CAAAGCACAAGTCTTCTGCAGGGGCTTTTTGTTTTACTGCACTTATAAAGGACCACAGCTTGAACTTCCCTACTATGAACATCAGGTCTTGAAGCTCTGCATCGGGAGAGGCTTAGGGGAAGAAAGGAGCAGAGGCGGTAACGTATCTGTAAGCGGGGCTCACAGACAGCTGGAAGTTGGCACGTGAGCCAGATGTCAGTGCTGGGATGCCAGGGGTGCAGCTGCCTTGTTAAAAGCCTTAAGGCTGTCATTGGGGCAGGGTAGGATGTACATACGTGTATGTCTACTGAAGGGGGGGGATTTGCACTGCTAGAATTTGAATCCTCTGTTCCTGCTCTGCTGTGGGGAAAGGAAAAGAGAAGGGGAAAAATCAAGGTGGGTGTGCAGGGAGGGCAGCAGTTGTCTCATCTGAGCCATTAGCCAGAATTTGGAATTGGACCTGTTACTTTTGAGGAATGTGGGGCAGTGGAGGAGAGATATGTGAATGTGCACACGGCTCTTGCTTCAGTGTCCTAGGAAAATGCCAGAGCGTAGGATGGCAAGGAGTAGTAATTACCCCACAGCTTCAGCTCCACCACTGCACCACTCTTTGATCACTTACTACTTTTCTATTCCTTCTGCTTCTTGCTGTAATTGTTACAAAATCTCTCTGCTTTGGGAGGGGTCCAGGACTCCAGGGCCCAATTGCATCTGCCCTGATTCAGAAAGTGGGTCATGCTGCTTGGTCTGGGAAGAAGATACTCATCTTGCTTAGCATGATATTTATTAGGAGATAGGGAAGGGAATGCAACCGCGCTGTTGCCTAGAAAATTGCTCTGGGGGGATAGCGAAGGACTTGTGAGGGCAGAGCACAGAAAGTTCTTGCGCACCCAGTGCCTGCTGAAGCTGTGCCACATTCCCCGTGCCTGTGTTGCCTGCTTCCTTCACAGCGAGACATGGTGCGGATAGATGGCAGGACGATAGTGGAACTGGGGACAAGGGAGGGATTTGTAGCTGCTCACTCAGCAGCTGCCAGGCAGTGATGGGCTCTTTACCTTCTTGGAGTAGAGGCTGGTGGGAGTGGAGGTAGGGGAAAACCAGATCTAGTTTGTTCATAAAGACGTGCTGTTTTCACAGTAGCAAGTGAAGACCTAACCTGTTTGGGTTTTGCTGCTGGACAAGTGACCAGCTCTGCTCCTGCACACCCTCCAAATACACGGCAAGCCTGGGTATTCGGTGTGCTGTATGACACAGTGCCCTGAAAGGCAAGAGCTCCCCTGCTAAGAGCAATTACAAAACCTGGATCCAAAGCCTAACATAATTTACTCTGTGCTGTATCTATCTCTCATTAAACAACAGAGAGAAGGAAACTCAGTAGAAGAAGCAGATGACGATACGCCCAGTGTTGCTCCAGCAGGGTCTCACAGTAGGGACTCTGCCACAGACCGCCCTACTCGTGGGGGGTAGAAAAGCGCAGCTGATCCTGCCAGTCTGGCTGGGCCTGTGCTGCTGCTTGCTGTGAAATCACCCTCAGGATTATCCAAAGGAAGAACTGGCAACTCCAGTAACTTGGAGGGCCGGATCCTCAACTCGTTTAAATTGGCATGACTTCACTGAAGCCACCGAAACTGCACTGATTTTACACCAGGTGAGGATCTGGTCCAGAATCTTCTGAAAGAAGAAGATAAAGAGGGCATGAAACAGAGGGTTGATAGAGCTCATGTACAAGCATGGGGACATGCTAGTGTTTCCTGGTCATAGCTTTTTAGTGGCAGCATGGTGAGAGGGGTCAGAGGCACAGTAAAGACCCTCACCTTTTGATTCAGCTTGTCGTGAACCCTGCTAGACTTGTTCTCGTAGGTGCTCTAAGCCTGGTCCGTCTTTTCCCGTACATTCAACACCACTAGTATCTCTTGTGGCGTGTGATGCCGTTGGCTGAGGCAGACCGGCAGCTGTGGCTTTAGCCTGACACTACTGCCACCGCAAGTTTTAATTTTGCCGAGCTTGTGAGATGATGGGAGGAGAGTTTCCATTTCAAGGAAGGAGAGTAGCCGGTGTCCATGTCCCAAATGACCGCTTCATTGGGCAGTGTTAAGCACATGCCTCCAGAAATTGTTGGTTCCTGGTGTGGCAGGCCAATTTCATTTTCCCAGCTCTGCACCTCATTCTTAGGTGGGGGTATTATGGGATGTATGTAAGAAGGTATGTTGTCGTGTATTTCTGGAGGAGGTTGTTTGCTGTAGCACCAAGCTCTTGGGACCTGCAGAGATGCACAGAATTCCCTCCAGCCCCCGGTACGCACTCACATCCGGGGTGGATCTGGACAGGGTTTTAGCAACTCCCAGTGCAGCAGCCCAGGGCCGGAAGTGAAGAAGGGATAAAATATCCAGCTGAAACTCCTGTAGGATGTAATTACCTGAGCTGGAAGCTGGCCAAGACAGCAGGTATCATGCATCATCTGCTGGTGGTATCAGAAGCACCTGGCATTGCGGGAGAGGTGGTCAGGGCCGAGGAGTGACATTGTTTGTGTGAGAGACAGGACCGCTCCCTCAAGGCTGCCTCTGTGGGCATTCTGCATAACGGCTTTTGTCCGAGTCACTTGGTGTTTGTTTCCATGGTTGTTCTGTGCACGTACCATGGTGCCTATAAAATGCTCTTGGGAAACTACAGCCCATGGATGGATGGCCCTGTCCTGACGTTCATTCAAATGCTCCTACTTTTCCATTTAAAAGAAAAGAGGAAAAAAGCTTAAACAAAAAAAAAAGGAAAAAAAACAACAAAGGAAATTGACTTCCCAAAAATTACACTAAGCTAACATTTGAGGCCTGGCACAAATCCATCACAGCCAGGAAACTCAGAATTAACCAGTGCACTCCCATGGCTGCTGGGAGGGGCTGCACTCCGGCAGCGCAGGCCAAAGCTTCAGAATCTGGGGGCTTGGGGATGAAAGTCCTCCACGTGTCTCTGAAGTGCAGCAGAAGGTGTTCTCGTGGACCTCCACGCATGCGAAAAAGCAGCATTAGATGCAGGGGCAGCTTTATGCTTTGGGGAGAGGGTTAACACCAAGCTCCTGGTGCTCAGATCTGACAGCTGATACCAGCACCTGACCAGGGCTGGTTGCACCAGGACTTTCCCCACGGGCTCTGTGTTGGTGGAGCAAGGACAGAGTGATACAGCAGGTACCTGCAAGCTGCTGCTGAGGAAGCTTGAGAACCCTAGCCCAGGTTGCAAGTAAGGAGAAAGTTGAGTGTTCTTCGTTCCCACTTGCACGTGACACAGCATAGCATAAATCATTGTGATTGACAGCTTCAGTTCAGTTCAGGTTAGAGGGGAAGGGAGGGAAGCGCAGGTCAAGCCGGGGAGCAGTGCTGGGGCTGTGCAAGCAGCCAGCCCTGAGCAGGTCACAGGAAGAGGCTCCGAGCAGAAATCGTGGCTGGTGTTGCGGGTCAGAGGTGGCCTGAGCTGGCAGAGCGGGATGGACAGAGGCTTGCAAAACACCTGCTGTGTGCTCCTCGCCTTGTGCTGATGATATCGGTGCTGTGCGTTTGCGAGGGCTCATTTCACTCATCAGTTTTGAAAAAGAAAGGAATGGGCTCCTGTACCTACTGCTGCAAAGAGGCTGGCACCGTGCTGAGAGCGGGACAAAGGTCCAGCCGTGCTTCTGCTATCCCCAGCCCTGGTGGGTTGCCAACCTGCTTTTGCTGTGAATTTTCACAGCTTTGGGGTACTGCAGACAGAAGACTTGATGTCAGAGCTTTGATAGTATCTCATTTCAGAGGCTGGGGGAGGTCGGGATGTGTTAAGGCTGAAAATATTTACAGGTTTTGAAGTTGAAACGCAAACAGGAAAAGCCCTTTAAAAAGTGAGTGTAGTGGATATTCAAAACAGGGATTGCCATGGAAACGCCACAATATTTGCTTAAATTGACACAAAGGTTGCTGGTTGCAGGGTTCTGACTTCTTTGGCTCCATTTTCTTTGGCCCAGCACCTATCACAAATTGATCTCAACAACCCTCTTTTGTTTTGCTTCTTTTATTTTTGTCTGATGGAAATTAAAAAAAAAACCACCACCACCAAAACCCTCCAGTCTACAAATCCCACCTCACAGAAGAGTCTGAAGCTTCTGAGCTTCTGTCAAATGTTGAAGCTAGGACATTTTTTAATTTTGCAAGTAAGGTAAAAGTTCTTGTTCTTTTAATCTGTGTATTTATTCATTTCCTCCAATGCAGGAAATGGAAGGGGATTGTCTTAACTGTCTAGGGAGAGCGGGAAGAAGGGTGAAACCTGTTGCAAAGGTAGCAGTATGCATCCAAGGAGCACAGGAAGGGAAGTGGGACTTTTGTTGTCCAGCTCTTGGACCGAAATTTGAGAGATTTAGTTTCGGTTCCCAATTCTGCTTCAGGTTTGCCAAGTGACCTTTGACAAGTCACTTAAGTACTGTGTGCCTCACTAAACTGGAAATAATTATTCTTCCTTTGTCTCGTCTGGTTATATTTGTAACGTCTTTGGGGTTGAGGAATTACATTTGATGTGGGGGTGTACAAGACTGACGATAGAGCTTTGTTCTACCAGTAGTTGTAAGACGAACACAAGCGAATGATTCCCCCACAAAGGAGGGGTGGCATCATGATCTCACATGTGCAGAAATGCTCAGCTGGCTTTGGGGAGAAGCTCTTTGCAATAAGTGGCTTAGTTCTGTAGGCTGCTTCTGCAACTGATTGACCTGGATTTTCTTCTGGGGAAAGTTGGAGTGTGTGGCCCACCGGATGGTCACCTGGGCGGTTTGTGTCTTGACTTCTGAGTTGCTAGCACCACACATGGCAGAGAAGAAGATTGGGATGCGGTGTGTTTGGCAGGGCGTGAAATGCCTTGCCTTGCTGGACTGTTGTGTGTGACCAAGGGCTGAGGTCTGTGGGTGGCTGTGGCATTTGAGACCGGCGTCATTGCTTGTGCTTGTGATTCACCTGAGCTCTTGTACTGTTCAGTAGGGAATATTCATTTCCTTTTGAAACTCTCCTCAGGGCAAAGAGACTTCACCAAGTGAAGGGAGACAGTCAAATTCACACTGTCTTCATCTGAGACCACCTCCAGAACAAAGAACCTGACTTCCCTCCTGGCTTTGTACACTGGAATGGACCTTGAAGCCTGTGACTTCTCAATGCAAGGTACTGGCTTTTGTTCTGTGATCAAACCGTCTGCTCTGAAATAGGACTGGAGTGAGTGATTTTGGCTCTCCAGAGCCTCCATTCCAGTTCCTGGGAAATCTCTAGCCTATAAAGTTTAGAAGAGCTGCTGAAAGTCATTGGTTTGGGTGGTAAATGCATGGTGGGGTGTTGGTTTGTCTTGGGCTGGCTTACAAGTAGGACTGGGTTAACCCCTGACATCGCTGCCCATTTCTGCACAGACATAGGCACCCAGCTGACACAGCAAAGCGCTGGTTTCAACAGCTCCCTCTCTTAGCCTCCTTCTTCCTAATGAGCTGGTGTGCAGTATTAACAATTAGCCAAGTCGTATGCCAGAACAGGCTAGCATGGCAGTCCCCTGGGTAAGTATTGTGTGGGACAGTTTCTGATTGACTTGTTTCACAAAAGAAGAGGAGTTTGAGGATGTCTGTGGCCACGGTGGGAAACTCAGAAAGGTTGTGAGGGGGTGGGACTCTCTGTTTCTAAAAGGCATTTTACTTTCTTCATTGCTTGGCGCCCGTCACAGCTTCTCTACAAAGAAAGGTATGGCACAACATGGCCTAGAAGAAAGCAGCTGTAGGATAACAACAGTGGGATAATGTATTTCTTCTCAATGGTTTGGGGATTTGGGAGGCACCTGGTGGCACTGTCATACTGCTGCAGATAGAAGGGGCTGAGGATCCTCGCTGTGTCTGGGCTTTGTATGATGTTATGTCTGCTCTGTAGGGGGTAGAGGTTTTGTCAGGGGCTATCTCCATACTGTGTTGGCACCATTAAATGATGATGATGCCTGAATGGAGATCAGCCACCTGAAGTGCCTGTGGGGATTGTGTATCACTATGTTCCTCTGTCTTTTGCTGCTGTGCCATAAAAGATACCTGGGCAAAGCAGTGTATCCAAAGCTGTTGTGAGTCACAGGTACAGCTGAGACCTGAACTAGAAGGATCAGGGTGGAGGGACTGTATTGGCTTAGCAAGAGGGAAGACGAGAAAAGTCACAGGGCTAAGATGTTGGTCTGGGGCTTCAGCTATCCCTGTCCATCCCTGCCTGTGTGTGGCATGGGGGAATTTACTCATGTTCTGAGTGCCCTACCTTAAAGAGCAACAGCCGTGATCCTCTAAGGCTCAGCAGGGCTTAGTGCTTGCCACGTGTTCAGAGCCTACAGACCTGACTGCTTTCAGTAAACCTGCCTGAAGTAAATGCAGTATGCTTCAGGATGGGATATAGGTGAACTGTGCCTTCCCACACCTTCCTAGTGCTGAAACTCCTTCAGGGTCTGGCATGCTTTATTTGGAAAGCTTGTTTTTGAACTATTAATGTAGGGAACTCTGGCCTTTATCCCTGCGTGAGCTGTTCTGGTGCCTGTGTCCCCTTTTAGAGAAGTGGCACATGCCTTCCCAGGCCTCCAGAGGCAAGAAAGCTTCCCAAATCGGAGCTCTGCCTGAGGGAATAGGGTAGTGGAACATGAAGAGCCTTGAGGTTTTACCAAATAAGATACAAATTCTCAGGTTTGACTGTAGCAGGTGAATTTTCCGCCAAACATCCTTACGTGCCTCTCCAGAGAGGCCCAACATCCAGGGGGAAAAACTCTGCTGAGGAAGCTGCTGTATAGGTTCTGGGTCCATTTTTCCATCAGAGGGAGCTTTTCCTGTGACCCCTTTCAAAGGTTTCTGCTGGTATAGCTCCTGGTATTGAAAGCCCTGCATGTCCATCTGACATGGACCTGGGATGTGCAGAACCTCAGAGGCATAGAAGGCAAGAGGAGGAGACTGATATATCATGAATTCCTCAAGTGCTGAAGTGAACCTTAAGGTTCAGGTTCTTGCAGATCAGTAATCCTTTTCGATGTTTGCCTTCTCCTCCTAGTACCTACTGGGTGCATTGCCTGAACAAAGCTGAGTGTCCTTCAGGGGCTGTTTTCTGAGGGACAGAAGCTCATTAGAGACAACAGAAATATTTCCCTTGACTCCAGCTCTTTTCTGAGGTCCCCCTAGCTCTACAAGCATCACTTCAGTGAAGGAGATGTATTTAGCCTTTCAGGCATGTGGCTTTGTGATCGCTCATGCTCTGGACTAGAAATCCCTGTGTTCCAGTCTTCGGCCCTGGAGCAAGTTGTATGGCTTCTACTTTCAAAACAAGCTCAATTTACTTTGGGCTACAGAGGCTGTTTGCACGTTCTCCAGAGCCCATCCCTAGGCTGTGATTGCTTTTTTACTCTCTGTTTATAAGCACAAGCTGGCTGTTTAGTCCTAGAGCTATAAGGGTTGGAGGGAGTTTTCTTGTTCAGTTGATGAAGGGTAGCCTTTTATGCGGGGGAAAAAGCTAAAAAAAAGTGGGAGAAGGATTAGAAATACCTGCTCTGTCTGTGTTTGAATTTGCAAAATATTTCCACTTGCTTCAACCCTAAAGTAAACCTAAATTTGGGGGTTAACTTGGGCTGACTGTGTTATTTTTGCTAGGATCCTTGGGATCACTGCATAGGCACAACTGCTAAGGGAGTGAGGTGGGAACTCTGCCTTCCACAGAACTGCAGCCGGCCCAGCCCAGCCAGCCCTGACGGCTCAGATCCTGAGCTGGGCTGGGGAATATGAAACAGCCTTGCAAAATCATTGTGGAAATTTACCCGCCTGTGTATGAAATCAACTTGCCTGCCTTTGCCAGGAGGAGTTTAACTTGCCCATTAAAATATACATCTATTTATGTATTACTTGTTCTGTGAGAGAAAATTTTCCCAGGCAGTTACAAAACTCAGTCTAGACTGTAACATGTGGCATCTGGTGGTAACATGCCATATACATATATCTGAATACAGTATCTACTGTATCACTCTGGTTGGGAGTTAATAGCACGTATCTGGATTATAGCGAGGTCTTTCCGTTTACAGCACGCTCTCACTGGATAAAAGTTTGGCCCAGTTCCTGCCTGCACTGGTCTGAATGGGGCTCTACCCTGCCTGCTTCCATCCAGAAAAAGCAAGGCAGGCATTTCCATGCTGCCTGTTCTGACCTGTGGCCCCATGGTCCACCTAGGCTGGAGGCAACAGTTCTCGGGCAGAACTCTTCCGGTATGGCTGAGTTGAGGAGAGGGAAGATGTTAAAAGCCTGTCTGGGATAAGAGCAGGGTTGTCACATCCATCTGCTCAGGCCCTGACGAGCAGCTGATCCATATTGTTAACATATTGCCTGCCATATGGGCTAGCTCAGCTCTCCAGGAACGCTTGGGAGACCTGACCTCTAGTGTGACAAGATGTGAGCATGAAGGACGGGTTGACAACAGCCCTTGGGTCTCGGAGTGTGAAACTGTGTTTCAGCCACTTCCGCTGCCTTCCCCTGCGCTCACTCGTGCACTGTCTCTGCCTGCCTCTCTCCCTCTCTTTTCTCTCTCTGAGGTTTTTTCCCTCCCTCCCCTGTTTTCCGCATCCCTGGTCTGTGCTAGATCAATGACCTTCACTCATAACCAGACTGGACAGTTCTGACTCCCTCCCCCGGGCCTTCGATCAGATGTTTGGTTGGCGGCTGTGGAAAGCTGAATGGGGAGAAGTCAAAGGAGGGGAAAGACGATCATGTGCTCGGCAGGCCTTATAGCTGTCCTTAACATATCTAGTCTGGGAATGGGACTGAAGCCTGATCCACTAAAGTCCTTAGCACCTCCTGCTCACTTGGATAATGGCAGACGCTAATATAGCTTCCTAATGGAGGGCCAAGTCCAGCAATGGGATCTAAGCAGGTTGAAAAGGCTCAGAGGTTCAGGGAAGGGCCCTGATGCCAGAGTTCGAGGAGGGAACAGTTACAAGGCTCTGGAGAGACACAGAACGATTTAGTTTCAAACTAAAGGTAGGCACAGCCCAAAGCCCTTTCAGAATCCCTGCTGTGCCCAGCAGCTAGTGATTTTGCACCTACAGCTGACCACATGAGGAGGAATAGTTGTCTGAGGAGGTGCAAAAGCTGAAGAGGTTTTTTGGCAGTGAGGAAGTCAGCTGGGCAGGATCCCTCCCAGGTGTTGAAGGAGCTCTGAGTACAGGGCCTGTGGTGCAGTGAGGTGCAAGCACAGAGCTCATGTGTATGGATATGTGAAGCAGTTTAGCCCTAAAGAAGCCCAGTGCTTAAGTGAGGGCCGGCAGTTGCCTGGCTGACTGTCATGCAGATGACCAGCCTGCCTAAAAACTCAGATGGAAAAAGGGTGTTCAGTACTGGAGGAGAGAGGACTGGGCCAGGACTTTTTGGGTTCAGACCTTGCTTTCCCTGCCACCTTCAGTCGTTCTTCTGACTTCATAGTGTTCTTAGTCTCCTAGAGCCATTGCTGATGAAGATGGCCATCTCTTTCCTAAGGCTTCTGTCTTCACACTTGAACTTTATGGAGGTTAAATCCTGGCTCTATTAAAGCAAGCACGAGTTTTGCTGTAAACCTCAGGGGAGTCAGGATTTCAGCCTTGGCTCCTCAGAAGAGGATCAGGATGTTTCCCAATCTTTCTTACCCATCAGCTCTGTCAGACCTGCAGGCATGACTTATTTGTCTTTTAATCTCCCAAAGGGTTGCCTTTTTTTTAAATGCCTGTAGTTTGAAAGTCAATATCCTCAAAAAAGCTGTGATTTTGCCCTGCTGCTCTTCACAAAGGTTTCAGACTGGTTTAGGTGCTTTTATCACTCTCCTTCCCCATATACCTGCAATTGCAATGAGCATTAATAGTGTTTATTTGTAGAGAGGAGCCCACTGAGGTATTGCAAAATAAAACACGGTGATGAGTCGTGGTTTATTTACTCAAGCTTCACTGATGTAACAAACCTGATTTTATGCTAATAATGACTCAGAAGCAGAGTTGGGAGGAGAAGCCAGATCTCCTGATTCCTTTAACCATATGACAATATTTCTTCCTGTCTTTACTAGATCCAGCGGCAGTTCTCTCAGCTGGGATGCAGGCAGCAGTTCTGTAGCACCCTGATGAAGCAGCTAGCTAAAAGAAAAGGTTAATAGTGGTCTGCCAG